ACGAAATTAACTTTGTTTTTTCCTATTTTCGAAAAATAACAATTTTTCGAATCATGATTTTCTTGCTCTAATTTTAAAATACACGGGGAAGATAGAAACTTTGAAGTTTTACAAAAAGTCTGATTGGATTTTTCAATAATTCAAAACTGAAGAGTCACGAAACACAGAAATGCTGAATTTAGAGATGAAGTTCTAATCATATATTTTACGTTTTTAGTAGTTTTTTATTAACTTTTATCGTTCTAAATTTATAACAAAAAATGATGGATAGCTTTATAAAGCATGGGAAGCTGAATCTTTTTCAACGGAAAGTTTTGTTCTAGTCAGTAGAAATTGATAAAACATTTGGTTCACCCGTTAATTGTTGAATTATATTATATTCAAGAGAAAAATGTGTAAAAATATTTTAAAATGAAACGAACTGGCACTTTGTTATGCGCTTACTGCGTCCGCGCCTTTCTCATTCTCCATTAGCTTTTCTCTTGTTTGACTATTTTTCTGTGATCAGGATCATGATATAAAATTACCAAATCACACATCAAACTTTTTTAGTGTTAAAAAAATCTTAATACTCTTAGGATATACTCGCTTCTACGTAAACAATACCAAAAACGACCTATAAATGATTCTTATACAAAATAAGTATGATATTTAGAATCGAAGTGTAAAAATAGATTAGGAACTCTGTACTTTGCGATAAAGATCGGATAGATGTGAATATGGGTGAAGTTAGTAGTATGAATGTACTCTGACTTTCGTTTTAGCTAAAGACATTTTTGACTCACTTTATATTCATTCGAAATGTGTAAAAGAAAAAGAATTATTTTTTTATTTTGATATTACAATTTTGTTTGGTCACATTCAAAATTCGCTGAATTGTAATGTGCGCTACAACATCAATAATAAATTTGTTTCACTGTTAATATGCACATCACTAAAACTATATTTATGATAAATACAGTTCGATAGAAAAGTATTAGGCAACATACTTTTCAACAAAAAATTGATATTGAACCATTGATACTATGAACGTCTATTATATACGATATATTGATCATCTATCAACAATTTTTCCTCGGATATGTACAAAAAAGAGTCATATATGTTTTTTTAAACATGCCTATAGTTACAAATTCTTTGTCGTGAATGATGAACGTTTATACGATAAAAATAGATCTTATATTTATTATTTTCTCTTGTATCAGTGGGCTACATAGTTCTAAGTAACAGTAGCTACATTAAAGACACAAACTATATTATTTTTATTCAAAAGTAACTAAAATAATACTGCTATTGTAATGCAGGCGTGACGTCTTTGCATGAACAAACTAACAAAACAAAAACACATACGAATGCATTTTTATTATTTTAGCATCGTTTCATTCTTTCGTTCGTGTATTTATAGTAAGTGACAATGTGAAAGTAGAAAGTGTAAAGAAAGAAGTTCTGAAAAAAAAGCAAAATTGCATTTTTCTTTTCTTCTTTCTTTCGATGTGATTGCATCTCATCAAGAGCTTTTTGCTTCTATTTGTCTTTGTACTTATAACAAGTTGACGAGTTTAAATGAATAGAAATGCATTAAAATCAAGTCAAAACCGTTCATGATGTTATATCCATCTTGCCTCTCCATGATAATTGATTCACAATCATCTATGCCACTAAAATCTATATACTAAATATGATTAAGATCATATTCAAAAGATTGTTACAATCAAATCAGTGTTAAAGAATCAGCTCTCTACATTGTGAAATAGAAAAAAGTGATAGAGAACAGAGACGAATATTCTAGGACGGTCAAAATGAATTTGACAATGAATTTCTATTTTCTTAAAAATATAATATTGAAGAAAGTTCGAAATTCAAGTATCGATTTTCTGGTTAAAAAAAGCTCGATCATATTTATATAGTAGTTTCAAGAACGTCAAACTCGATTTCAGACTCTGAATATTTCCCTTAAAATAAAATAACAATCACTACTTTTTGTCTTTACAATCAATTGTTCTTTCATCTCTATACCAATTTGAGTTCTAACATTAACTCAGTTTATAGGCCAGAAGCGTACATATGTTACAATTAAGAATAAAGTAAGCAGTACTTGAGATATTGTTCTTAAAAAATACAGAAAGAAAACATAATTATCTTACGAAGATTTAAGTTCACATATACTGCAAGGAGATTGTGATTTAGTACAAAAATAATGTCATAGCTACTAGAGTAGTATTCCAGGATGAAGAAAATGAAACCCGTATATACTTCGTATTTCTCCGTACGTGATATGAAGAAATACGAGCATGTATTGCTATTAAACTATTGAAGTATTCGACCGATCGTTCAATCTTGTATACACAAGGATGTCTTATGAAAATTATTAAGAGTTAGAGAGTGAGTGTATACATATGATTATGATTAGCTAAAATCTCATTATATTAATGTTTTTTTTTAATCAACATCTATAATGTACATTTTATTTCAAACATAAAGAAGGAAACATATAATAATATGAATGATGAAAAATCAAAAGATTTTCAATTTAAAGCTTTTTATTAAAAATATTCAACTTAGAGCATAAAACTTCTAAAAAATCAATGTACTACTTTTGATAACCACATATCATTCATAGAAATTCAGTAATTCGAAATATATATATAGATGATTAAAAGTGGTTTTAATCATCTTATTGAATTATCGTTTCAGATAAAAGATGAAGTCTTTAGAATAGTATTAAAGAACAGAAACAAATATAGTTATTTGTAAAATGAGTCGCTATCATATCTCAAAAGTATAAACAGAGAAAAAACAAAAAATGTTTTGTGATTTTAACGAAAATAGAATATTTTTTAAGTAGATGATGACAAGTAGGTATCATCAAAATTTCTCGTCAAGAACAAGGTGCTAAATAATAATAAATCATGTTGCTTATGAAAGATCAGACCTCAAGCTATCTTCCCACATATTTATCTCAATTTCGATTTTTCTGATGATAGTTGATTTTTTTGTAGGAAGGCTTAAATATGAGAAATATGTAATTGATATTCATATATTGTTGAAATAGAATAAATTTACATTCATATAGTAAATATCAATGATGTAAACTAGAATTCTTTTGAAATAGTTAAAAATTTAGATAGAAGTGTGATTATCATTATTCGTAAATAATGATCCATTGAAAAGATATTGTCAATTAGTTTTCATATTGAATTTTATTATATATAGTATTCAGTATGAAGACCTTCCCAAGAAAATTTACTTTGTCTTATTTGTCATTATAATATAATTAATTTAAATATTTATATTGAATTTTATACAATTTTGATGATTAGCTTTTTCCTTGAATTTCTTTCTGTCATTGTTTATTTGGTTAATAAGTATATTATGATGCAATAGTAATCATTGAATAATAAATATGATGATGATTATGCAAAATAGTCATTCATATTCAAAAGAATGTATTCATCAATTGATGTACAAATTTCTAGTTGAATAACCAGGATAGATCTAACTTGTCATTGATGTCAAATAAATTTGCTTATACATCAGAAAAAAAGAAAAGATGAACTAATAGAGTTTAACATTTGCTAACATATTGATCAATTAATTGAATGATATAATTCAACTGACATTGACTTAATTATTTGTTTATCCAAATTCTTATTACATTCATTTTTTTTTTCTTTCTTTTAATATATTAATTTATACAAATAAACAGTAACGAGATAAAAACTTTAATAATAATAATTATAATTATAGAAGCTGAAGATTGTATTACAGAACTATTCAATGAGAACAAAAAAGAAAAAGAAGTAGTTAAACAAACAAACAATAGATATAGAAGATATAAGATCAAACAACAGCCTAAAGAAGAAAACAAACGATGTATATAATCACCGGATAATGGCTGTTGGATACAATACACTTTAGTTTTTCCTACAAGGTTCACTAAAAGAAAAAGAAAAACAACACTAATCTACATATTTTAATTTTCCTTTTTTTTTTCTTCTTGTGTTTGTTCCAATTAATTCTAAACTTGATTATTCATTCATCATATGGACTTGTATGAATAATAGCATATTTATCATTCTTTACATGTATACGTAATTTTGATTTATCGGATTGTAATCCACAACAAAAACAACAACTAAGTATTGTTGTATATAAATTTATTCCAATAGCAGCAACTATAATCCAAAAAGCTAAACCTAAACGTTCAACATTAATAATCCATGGATTAAATGTAATAATTAATGATTCATATTGATTTAATTCATATGTAAAATCTGGTCGATATAAACGTTCATGTATCCATTCATATAAAAATATTCCTAAACCACTAGAACCACTTAAAAATGATATTAAAGAAAAAAAACTAATAAATGCAAATGGTATTGAATAAAATCTCTCAATACAATTTATACAAAATAATATTAATAATGATAATAATGTTAATAATGGTGCTATAATAAATAAAAGAAGCATTATATAATGACGTATACGCTTCATATAATAATAAAAGTCACGTGGTGATGTTGAATATGATGATAAATAACGTGGTAGATCTTGATTATCAATTGATATTGATTGCCACATACAATTTCCTTCTTTCCAATAATAACGTGTTTGATTATATGGACGATTACATTCTTGTTCATCAATATATGATGGACAATCAGGTATATTATCACATTTTTTCATCTATATAAAAAAAAAATATTTGAAAATTTAGAAAAAATGTTTTAGTTTTTAGTATAAAATTTAAACATACACAACATCCTGTTTCAGGACAAATCGATAAGGATTGATTACATTGTCGACAAAAGAAATTTTTATTAGATTCAATATTTATTTGTGATTTTAATAAAAATAAATTAAGCCATTTATAATCTAAACAATAACCAAATAAACCATAATGTGTACGAAAACCATGACGTATAAGTTGATTTTCTAATTGAATATTATTATTATTATTTAATTGCAGATATTCTTCGTGTTGTTTATTTGTAAAATTATATTGATCAATTAAATTTTTATCGATATAATTCCAACGTGTACTTATTAAACCATATATATATAAACCAATTGATGCAAACATTGGCAAGACAATATTTATAACAAGTATACTAACCTTCATTATTGATTTATTAATCTAAAAAAAACAAAAAGAACTCATAGCATAAATATTTTCTTCATCTATGGAAAAAATAAAAAAATAGACAAACTAGGAAAATAATCATCGATACTTCTGCTGAGTATAGTTCTTAATTGGTGATTCTGACATATCATTTCTACTAATGAGGTTTACGTTTTTCTTTGTAGATATATTTCTTCAATAGCTGGCTGTAGAATGTTAACCTTTTCCTTTTTTTTCTCTCTCTCTTTCTACCCTCTCATTCACACAAACACAACTATTGAACGATTTCTTTTTCGTTCATGTTCAAGAAACATACATACATGCTCACAACATTGGATAAATTAAGAAAAAAAAAGAAGGCATCAGCAGTTGCAAGAACACGTTGTATTACTACTATTCCTGCTCAATCAACCCTTGTAAACGAAAGGCGAACGTATAAACACTCACAATACCAGCGAATGAACGTGTGCATGTGGGCGTGCCTTTACTTCTACAGGCTAGTCATCACTCACATGCATATATATATATAAAGTCGATTACGTATTCATCATCCCATGTAATATCGTCAACACATAAAATACGATGAATGGTTCATCTAATTTATTTGTGTATATGCACAATCTTTAGAGACTTCTATATATATATGCACATGTGTATAGGAGAGGTAATTTGATGCAGACTGACAAAGTATAAAAGAACGAAAATGTGCGTGACCACAAATCTTTTTCCAAGTGATGAAAGACAAAAATGATAGTGATTTATAGTATGTATTAGATTGAAGAAGTTCTCATCAAGAAACAAGTGGTAAATCCTTGAAAAATCTTACGTAATCAAAATGGTATCACTTATGAATTTAATACTAATAAAAAGCAACAAATCAGTACATCGAGAGAGAGAGAGAAAAAAGACTTTTGATGATAAATATGATAACATTAAAAACAAGCCACATATATTTATTTATACTCACAAATAGGCAAAGGTGAAAAAAAACAGCTAACTACAAAAGCCCATGAGAATGAATGACTGATGTAGGAGAGAGAGCGAGAGAAGAAAAGAACCAGATAAAGACACCAATAGAACCTATGTGAACAAGCATTTACATGAAACACGATATAATCATGATATAGTTTTATCTTTATTTTTCAAATAATCATTAAAGTACATATTTTTCTTAATTTCCCGTCTTGAATATTAGATTTTCTTAGATTAATTAAAATTTCACTGATTAGCGCCGTCTATTGATTTTAAATAAGAAGCATCATACAGATGTTATTCGTATTGAATGCGATGAATCGTTCATACAGAAATCAAAACTTTTGCTTATCATTCACATGAAATTAATGCTAACCATGATCATGTCATTCCACATACTAAGCAAACTCATGAATCAATAGCATAGCAAATCAATGAGACTAACCGACATGATATTAACGCACAAGACGATAATCTTTTTGATTGATATGCATATGTATTTAGATTAACGAATAAACGTTAAATAGAAGAATGTAATTTAACATATTATTACTTTTGTTTATTGAGAACAATGAAAACAATGTGCAATAATGAACATAATATAATTTGTGATAGAATCATTTTTGGTTTTAGTATGAATAAATAATATTTCTTTTTCTTTTAATAAAATCCCTGAATAACGCAATACAATATGATTGTTAACAGGGATAACAGATGAAATTACCTTGATTATATATTTATGACGAGATCAATTGAATTGATGAGAAAATTATATACGATTCGTTCTATGAATAAACTGAAACCAGTATGAGGCATAAGACTCTATACGTACAAAATATTAAATTCTTTCTCGTTCTTTGATTGATCTCGATTTATAATGTTGGTTAGCGCCGTCTGTCGATTTATTTACCGATTTGAACAGGCAGACGCCTCTTATATTGTAGAAAAAAAGAAAAGAAACCAAGTAAACAACACTTCGGTCACCCTATTCAGCTTTTTTTTTTGACACAATTATTAAGTTTCATTTGATATTTTCTATATTCCGATTAAAAAGAATGACTGATACACGAACACTTTCATCATCATCGTCTCCTACAACAAATCATGTTAATGGTACAAATACAGCATCATCATTACCTGCTGATCTAAATAATGTTAATGGTTTAACAGCTTATGTATGTTTTTTTTTTTTTGTATAACTTATAATTTATAGTTTATGAATTAATTTTGAAATAGGTTAATACAATTTTTCATCAAATGGAAGAAAAATTTCTTGCTGCAAGTGATCAAGTTATGAATCGTATGAATGAATTAGGCAGAAAAATTGATACACTTGAATCAAATCTTGGTGATATTATTTCACATTTACCATCAGAAGAATCAACAACACCAGGATCATCACAATCAGTAACAGGAACAACAACACAACAATAACAAAAAAAAAACAACAATCATAATCGAATGTTTACTTTCTTTTTCTTTTTTATATCTTCACGAATAGGACATTTTTTCGTTTTTTTCTCACGTTAAACTTCCATTTTTTATAGATAAATTTCATTTGTGTATGGAATAAAAATAAAATAAATTGAATTACATTATGCGTTTTGTTTGTAAGACATAATCAATTAATCTTTTGTTTTGCTAATAACAGTATGCTTTTTTCATTCAAACGTCTTTTAATCACACAAAGACAACGTTTAAGTAGTTTTTTTCGGAACACTTACAAGGAAATCTACTGTTTTAAAGTGAGTCATTTGACACGACTTCTTAATAGAATCCGTTTATTTTTAGTTTATTTTTTAAAATTTTATTTTCATTCATATTGTTAATAACGTTGATCATATTACTTTATATATGTTTCGAAAAGTATCAGGTTCACACATACATCTTATCACATTCTTCATTTTCTTTAAATTAACATAAACAGTAATGTTTGTTCCTGTTTTATTTGAGTAAACGAATATATCACACAGGAAATAAGAGAGGAAACAAAGGAATGTTTGAGTCGATGAGACAACATTAGATAAAAAGGTTAAGCTTAATATTACCTACTAAAAGTTTTTGTATATAAATTTTTTATTATTGGAAGACAAATGTAGAATTTGATCTGATAAGAAAATATTTTCTGAATAAAAACCTCAAATGTGTTTTTTTTTTGTCATTTGAATTCTCCTTTGTGATAAATAATAATATTCATTGTTATTTTGTTTTATCTCTTTTGTACGAATATGAGTCTCCAATAAAATTTGGTTTTCTTAAGAAAATAAAAATAATATCATTAGATACATCTTTTCTTATCTTTGTTTATCTACTTTCAGAACATCGAAAGTTTTGTCTTATATATTTTATTTTAAAAAAAATGAATGTTGAGAATAAATTCTTTTTTTCATTGTTTTTTTTTTATTTTATATATTTTTAAGATGTTTATTGGTATTCTATTTATTATTATTACATGTGTAGGAGTATCAGCTAAAAATAAAATTCTAGCTGATGTACCTCAATTAGATGGTTATTATCATATGCCAATATTAGGTAATGGTAATCAATATGTTTTTAATATTGATTGGTCACATACATATAATCGTTATTTGGTTACTGTAACTGGACAATCATTAGCTTGGGCAACAGCAACATTAAATATAATTAATGAAACTTCAGTAAATCTTGTATGTGATAATGGTATAAATTTACCAGGTATAATAAAGTATCCAACAAATTTGCCATCTATTTGTTGGCCAACATCAAAAGATTTTACTTGTTGGAATCGTCTTCTATCAAATATAACACGTATACATGTTATTAATATGTAAAATTTGTTTTTTTTTATTTTATTTTATTTCATTATTATTTTTTATATTTAATAAATTGTATTTCTTTGTTTTAGGAATCATTTAGATGTTGGTTATAATGGTATTCCAACAACCGGTTTTATAAATAATATTCTTAATATATATTTTCATCAATATTTTCCTCGTGCAGCTATTTTAGCTGAACAAATTCGTCGAATATCACCCGACGATTCATTTGTCTATACAACACATCCATGGTTACTTAGTATGTTTTTTAATTGTCCATCAAATTTAATTCTTGCTGGTATAAAATTACAATGTCCATCAAATGATGAATTAGACTTAATTGAACGAGCTATACGTACTGGTGCAATAACATGGCATGCTGGTGCAATGAATATGCAATATGAATGGATGGATGAACGTGCATTAAACCTTTCATTAGATTTATCTGTTTCATTAGCAAAACGTTTTCATGTTCCTGTTCCATGTGTAGTTAGTGTACGTGATGTACCTGGTGTTCCAATAGCTATTATTCGATCATTAAATCAATATTTTTCACAATATTGTTCATATAAACCTATGATTACAGTTGGAGTTAATGCTGGTATGAAGAATTTTTATACAGAATTTAGAAAAAAAAAAAAAGTTATTTAATTGTTTGATTCTTTTTTAGCGGTAACTAATTTTGATATACCAAATGGTTTATTTCGATGGGGAACAAGTGATGATTTAAATGTACTTGCAACATGGCATTCATTTGGTTTGTATTTATTTAAAATATAGAAAAATAAATAAGAAAATATGATAATATGATTATTTTTAGGTTATCCAAATAATCCTGGTTCAACATATACAAATCCAGGCGGTTTAGCTCTAGATGATCTTGTTATTATTCCACAAGTTGGTGTTGGTTTAGCATTTGCATTTCGTACTGATAATCAAGGTAATTTGAAAAATTTCTTTTTCATTTTTGTTATCAAAATTGATAAGGTCCACCAATGTCAATTGCTGAAATTCATCAAAATCATGAAATTCTTCGTCAATCGTATCCAGGTGCTCGAATTATTTCATCATCATTTCAAAATTTTCTTGAAGATGTTTGGGGCATAGCTGATGAACTTCAATTATTTGATCGTGATATATCTGATTCATGGTTACAAGGTATTGGATCAGATCCAAAACGTATTCAACAATATTTAGCATTACAAAGAGCTTTAAGTACATGTTTTGAACGAAATTTATGTACAATAGATGATGATCAATTAATTGATGCTAGTAGATTTCTTATTAAAATTCCTGGTAAATAAAAGTTTTATTTTATATAATCTGGAGTGCGACAGTCTCGCCTTTTCTCATTTTTCGTCCACTAAAAAAAGACTGTTTCACTATTTCCGAATGTATGTTCACATTTTCCTTCTGAAATAAGATTAAATAACTATCAGAAAACTTTGTGAAAAAGTCTAAAAGTATGTCGTTACAAAGCAAAATAGCAGTATTTATGTAGTCGTTAGTTTGTATCTTGGAACAACTTCAAGTCAATACTATTGTAAAGCACTGAATTCTATACAAAAAAAATGAGATATTACAATAAACGAAATTTCATGTCACTGCATTCCTACTAATTAGTCAGTTTCTATAAAAACTTGTATCAATGTTGAAAAGTTGCAACTTTGCTGTACAAAATTGACTAAATTAGTTACTTGTACAATCACTATTTTTTGCCAACAATCTTAGTTCAGAAGGAAATTCTGATCATACATTCGAAAATAACGAAATAGTCTCTTTTTGGTATCTGAAAAATGAATGAAGACAAAAGTTTCGCATTATAGATTACTTATTTTGCTGAAATTTATTTTATAGAACATACTTGGGGTTTACCATCAGTAAATGATGAAATCAATTGGAGTAATGAACAATTTCAAAAAGTTGTTAATACAGCACAATCATATAATAATTGTCGAATGGCATGGTTTGAACAACGAGATTTTTTTGATATATATTTAGATAAAGTTCGTGATCATCCACTTTATAATATAATACAAGATGAACTTTCTACGGCATTTAATAATGTAACAAGACCTAATTTAGATCATTATAAAATCGTTTCATCAACAGAAACATTTCCACTTTTTCGTGATTCATCAAATCCAATATATGTTTCATTTGATAAAAATTTAGGATCAATTTCAACTTTAACTCGAAATGACAAAATCTATTGGACAGATGAAAATTCTCAATTAGCAACCTATGCTTATATTACTTATAATGAAACTGATTTTGTTGAATTATCAAATACATATGGAAATCCAGGTAGAAAATAATTTAAATTTAATTTCAAATTTATTTTGAATCATATAATACAGTAGACCATTGTGAAATAATTTTCTTTCTAAATGAACCTTTATTATTTTTTCTACGTAGGAAAATCAACAATTGAGCGCTACGATAATTAGTCATAGTATAGAATCAATTCGATCATTTCGTTGATAAGCTCTAACTGAATGTTATCATTCACTTTTTGAATTTATGGAATTGTTACGAAATGATGAAAATTATATTCATTGTGATATAGTGAAAACTACGGTAGACAGACATATTCAGTTAGGTGGTTCAGACATTAATGTAATGATGATCCGAACAAACTTACATCATTGTAGTGCCCTTCTCTGAGTTCATCCTTAAAAATTAGACCCAGGAAATAATCACAAGAAGTCAGGTTTGAAGAATAAGTTCGATAAAGAAGCAATTTCTATTTTGATTCACGTTTATAATAATGAATTCGTGATGCATTACCATCTATAATTCCAAAAGGAAAGTCATACTCTCCAGTAGAATAATGATCCAAAAGTTCTTGATATACTTGAAAATGATAGTTTCGTTGATCAAGTGTTAGTAAATGTGGTATCCATCTTGAACAGATATCCGTCGTTTGTAAGTGATCATTCAAAATGCCTCGGCTATCTGTTATTTTCTGTAGATTTTCAATAGCTTTGACAGTTGTTTTGTTCGTTACAGTAATTACCGCCATCATAAACTCAAAAATATTTCATAGTGACTGACCTCCAACAACAAGAAATTTTATTTCTAGAAAACCAATGAAAGCTCATGATGTCAATAGAAAGAGGATTGTTTGAACAACCATCGTAACGTTTTCATGCACAATTAGAAGAGTCTACTGAACATTTATATCTATACTAGGGAATGTATCGAACCCGAACATTCGGTCTGTTCGTCCCGAAAATAGAGGCTGAGTTGATTTTTCTGTAACTTTTTTTGCCGATTTTATTTCTGATCATTGCGATTAATTTTCGTCGACTTCTCTACAATAACTACCTATTTGAAAGTAAAATATAATTATTTAATATTAATTAATTAAAATATTAAAATCATTATTCTCATTTAAATTCTTAGGTTATGATAAACCAAATTCAACAGTAAATGCTAATCCAGTTTCACGTGTTTGGTTACCAACATTAAAAAATCTTTATCAATCTCGAAATAATGAAAACATTTTTCTTGCTTTATTAAATATTGATGCTGATGCTATTAATTTATATGGTGCTTTTAATGAAATATGGTTAACATATACGTTTCTTGATGAAAAAACACTTATACTTGAATGGTTAGGTTTAAATAAAACAG